GCAAAAATTCATACCAGAGGTACTTTTAATTTATATTTATTTTGATTTGAATTTTGAACCACGGTGGATAGAAATTGTAAACCACTAGGACCAAATCTGTAATTTACTCTTAAGAAAAAATTGGCGTGTTGTTTCTTTTGATTTCTTTTTTTACATTGAGTTCAATTTTAAATATTTTATATGTCTCGAAGTATAAAAAACGATATCAATATTAATTAAAATAAGATTTTAACTGATATTAGAAAACATAAAGTTTGGAGGCTATACTCCAAACCCGATATAGGACAAGGATTTAGAATAATATATTTTTTTCTAAGGAAATTATTAATGATTAGTTAAAAATATATACATGACGAAATATAAGTTACTTTAAACGGTTAATTTGTTTTGATATTCGATCAGTTTAAGTTCATGAGATGTAAGTCTAAGTTTATTATCATATATTTAAATTAAAAAAATAGCGAAAATTTAACATAACTTGTAATAAGAAAAATAGTGAAAAGCCTAAAAGACCCAATAGACTTTCTTATATTGAACGATAAAATTATTGAACTTTTTTAATAAATAAACCTTTAAATTTTCTTAGTGATTAAATCTTTGAACATTCTTTAATAAAATAAATAGTCGAACTTTTACAAATTGGTTACCAATATCATTTTTTTCCCAAAAAAACTATTTGTAATCGATTAAAAGGTTTTAAAGTAAAAAAAAATATAAAACAGTTTTACATTTCTCAAACTCTACGCCATTCAAACCTTTGCACCCAACTTGATTTTTTTAAATCTAAAATTAGTCTTCAACCGGTTACCCAGTTACTTAAATATTTAAAGTTTTACATCTTAGATACCAAAATAGAAACTTTGAAAGTACGTTAACCAAAATAGAAATCAAGTTAAAATACATTATTTTTTTCATACAATTTGTTATTTAAAAAAATTAACAAAAATATATAAACCATCCATTTTAGTGTAGGACCAAGATAAAGCTATTTATTTTGTAACTTTACCAATATGAATGTATGGCGTAGGAAAGAAAAGGATAAGAAAAAAAAAACCAATAGTGTACCTTTGTTGCTTTCCTTGGATGCGTACAAGGCTTTGGTATCCACCTAAGTTGGAATATAAAATATGTAGTTATTTTTTTTACCTCTTAATAGTTTTATTAAGAGTTAATATTTGAATTGTTAAAAGATGAATTTTGTTTGGTAAAAATTTGTTTTTTAATAGTTTTAAAATCCTCTGAATGATTTTGCATCTTGGGCCTCCATTAACCATTCAGCGCTTTAATTTCGTTGTAAATAATTATCAAACAATTAGATTTCATTTTGCACTATATCATGAAAGTCTCTTGATCATTCTGCACAAAACCATTCAACAACTGTCAAACAACTCTTAAAATACCGTTTTATTGGCTTTTTATATCATATTTTATAAGTTAATTATTCAATTTTGTCAATAAAATTGTTATGTTGTCTCATTCCGTTGTAACAACTTGTTATAACGTTGTTATATCAGAAGCACAGTTGTTAATCCCAAAACCTAAAATCTATATATATATTAAAGGAAGAACCAAGAGTATTGAGGTGGCATCATGAGAATTGAGTATTGAGGTGTTGGTGAATTGTGGTTGAGTTTGAGATATCCCATATTGGTGAAGAATTGAAAATTTTGAACAATATGAAGTGTATAAGAAAGGTGGATTGGATGCCTTTGTGTCAAATATGGGGTTTGCCTCATAAGGGTTATCTTTCTTTGGATGACCCTATTTGAAATTTATAACCATGGTTGGAAACTAATCAAACCAAATGGTAGAAATTATAGTGCAAAATTTATTATACTATTATAGTGCAAAATTTATTGAGGTGGCATCATGAGAATTGAGTATTGAGGTGTTGGTGAATTGTGGTTGAGTTTGAGATATCCCACATTGGTGAAGAATTGAAAATTTTGAACAATATGAAGTATATAAGAAAGGTGGATTGGATGCCTTTGTGTCAAATATGGGGTTTGCCTCATAAGGGTTATCTTTCTTTGGATGACCC